GCATTATATTAGTGAGGGCAATCTTTGATTATGCTACAATAACTAATAAAACCTGAAATAGCTTTACTTAACACAATAAAGGGTCAATTCTGTTTTAGTCTGTTTGGGCTGCTATAGCAAAAATACCTTGAACTAGGTGGCTTATAAACCACAGAAATTTATTGCTTACAGTTCTGGAGGCTGGGAAGTCCAAGATCAAGGCACTGGCGTATTCTGTGTCTGGAGAGGGCCCACTTCCTCATAGACAGCATCTTCTCCTCACTGTGTCCTCACATGGTGGAAGGGGCAGGGGTCTCTTTCATAAGGGCACTAATCCCATTCATAAGGGCTCTGCCTTCATGACCGAATCACCTCCCAAAGGCCTCACTTCTTAATGTCATCACCTTGGAGGTTAGGATTTCAATATGTGAATTTTGGAGGCACACACATTCACACCATAACAATTTCTCAGTCATATCACCAGTTGATGGAGGTCACAGGGCTCTCCCTGGTATGCTCCTCAAACCTGGAGTCCTGGTCTACTTCCATCATGCAACTCCACTTCTTGGGGCTCCTTGCTTCAGCCCCAGGGTGAGAGAGAGCCTGTGCTCATGAAGACACACCTGTCCTTAACTGCCTCACACCTCTGGCATTCCCACTGGCAAAAAACTCGGGCACAGGGTCTCAACACAGCCATGTGGAAGGCTAAGAAATGCAGAAATGCAGTTTTTCTGTTTGCCCGGGGGGCAAGGGTGTGATGAACCAGCATTTCTCTGCCGAACAGTGTGGAAACTTGATATATGACAAAATCGACAGGGTAAATCCCTGGAGAAAGTGCCAACAATTAATAGATGATGCTAAGAAAAAAAATAAGGAAGCCAATTTCTTCTTTACCCTACATACAAACAAATAACTTTCGAATGGATTAAGACTTTAAATGAGAAAGATAAAAGAGATATATGAGAATATCTTTCTATCCCAGATATTTGTTTGGAAAGAGTTCTTAAACAACACGAACGTAGAAGGCACTGATGGATAAAAATACGTCATAAAGAAAAAGACAAATGATGAACTAGTAGAAGATATTTGCAATACATATAACTGGCAAAGACTTGGTATTTAAAATATAGAAAGAAATTATGTTAGTCACTACAAAAATACGAACAACTTAATAGAAAAAAACGAGTAAGTGACTTGAATAAACATAACACATAAGAGAAAATATGAATGGCAGATGACTGAATAGAAATAGCTCTACTTCATTAGTAAGTCAGAAAATGAAAATTTAAATCATGGGAAAATTCCATTTCACAACCATTTGATTGGAAAAGTTAAAAAGTCAGAGAGCATTAGGTGCTAACAAGGAGGAGGAGTAATAAGAAATCTTTTCCACTACTGCTGACAATAGAAATTGATACAAAAAGTTTGGGGACTAATTTGACACTGTCATATGAATTTAAAACTGTGCATACTGATGAAATAGCAATTCCACTTGCAGGGAAATTCTTGCACATGTGAACTATGGCTAGACACTTCACACAGATGATTACCTTGAAAATACAATGTTGAGTGAAAAAACAAGATTCAGAAGAATACATATAGTATACCATTTTTATAAAGTTAAATGAAGCAAATCGAAGTATATTGTTTAAGAATCCACACATACATGTGTTTAAGGATCGTACTATAAAGAAAAACAAGGGAATGAGGGAATGAGGAAAAGTGAAAATTTAGGGTAGTGGATACCTTTGGGGGCGTGGCGAGGGAATAAGGTGGAGTGGACACATAAAGAGCTTCAGGATGCCAAAGAAATTGAATTTTTAAAAGTAGGGTGATGGATTCACAGGCCTTCATTGTATTACATAATAAGATATGGTTAGCACAAACATTTTTATGCATCAAATATTTAATTTTTAAAATTAAAACACACACGCAGAAGAAAGAAGTAAGTACTCTATAAACTGAC